AAAATCTTATCTTGCTCTTTTATTGAAAGATAGAAAACTAAATGGCTGGTATTTGGAATGTATCCAATTGAAGGCAAAGGACATTTTTTCAAAACTGTATTTTCCAGAAATGAATAGTGCTTTGTGTACAAGGATTATTCATTCTTATTTTTACTGAAATATTTACTTTCTAACAATTTTTGGCTGAAGTTAGAGCGCTAGTAAATATTGCATTTAAAAACTTATATAGAATATTTTCAAGTGCTGGATACCATTTTGTTTTCTTGAACAATGGTATGGATTTCAAAATGTAATTTAAAAAAACCATCCCAAATCTAAAAATGAAAACAAAATGCCCACATTACAAATGTATTTTTGGAAGAGATCAACATTTCAAAATCTCAGAGTTTGGCAATGGGTTTCAGGCCAAATAATATTTTGTAATTTTGTGGTTCTCTGGATGTAAACTGAACAGATCCTGCTTTCCTTGCTCAGTGTTATACATACAGTTTTATGTAAGAATCAACATGTATTAAGATTGTGTGGACATAAATATTTATGAATATGAGTAAATGTAAAAGTTCTAATGTATGGACACTGATTCTTAGTACTCAAAGCCACTTTAGCATTGTTTAGAATATATTTACAATACATTTTCATATGTTGGAACCATGATTGTCATTCAGGGATGAATGTGATTGGAAAAAGTGTAATATGCCAAAAAGATAAATGTTTTAAATCAGAGTGTTACATAACAACTGTAATGAAATATGGAGGGGAAACAGGGCAGCTTTTGCTTGCAATTGCAGCACACTATATTATTTTTGCATCAGAGCTGACATTTTTCGGCATTGATAAAACATTCATATTATATAAGAAAAATAAAAATGTATCATTATTTCTAATTATTTGCTGTTTTATTTTATAAATAGTAATGAAAAAGTATATCATCTGTAGCCAGATAAAAATCTATCACTTTATTTTCCTTATCTTTAAGCATCTAGGGCAGTGATGGCTAACCTTTTTGCCGTCGCGTGCCAAAAGCAGGGAGAGCCTGGGGGGGGGTCGCAGGTGCGTGTGCCCATATCCATAATTCAATGCGCCCCGTCCTCCCGCGCATGTGCATGTGACCCCCCCACACACACACTTCCCCCTGCTTTTGGCACGTGATGGTACGGTGGGCCCGGTAGGCCAGTTTTTCCCACTCCCCAGGCTCCAGAGGCTTTCTAGGAGCCTAGGGAGAGCAAAAACAGCCTTCCTCATCCCCCCGGAGGCCTCTCGGAGGCCGGAAACAGCCAGTTTCCTGACTTCTGGTGGCACCGGAAGGCCTGAAAATCAGTTGGCCGGTGCATGCATGCGCGCTGGAGCTGACCTAGGGCAACACTCGCGTGCCCACCAATATGGCTCCATGTGCCACCTGTGGCACCCGTGCCATAAGTTCGCCATCACGGATCTAGGGTTTTGAGTGTGCATTTATATTTTACTCAAAGATGAAACCAACTATTATTCATTAAATGAACCGAATTAAAGAATCACTCAGAATAATTTGATAAACATTTCATTTTATGTGTTTTTTCTTAATAGTGAGGGCTAAGAGTTGAACATATAATTTGTTTTGATTTTCTGGAAAAAAAGTTAAGAGCCAATGTGATATAGTGGTTTAGGTGCTGAATTAAGAGTAGGGAGACTCCAGTTTTAATACTTCCTTAGTTATAACAGCTATCTGAATGACCTTGGGCCAATCATTTCTCTTAGCCTTAATCAGCATCAGGCTTGACAATAAGTGTGCGTCTGTCTGTCTGTCTGTCTGTCTGTCTGTCTGTCTGTCTATCTGTCTGTCTGATGCATTGAGATAATACAAAGTGAATGGACCCTACAGCTAAGTGGATCAGATGCCTAGAACAGCAAAAATACTAGTTCTTTTGGAATATATGGTAATGATATCAGATCTTCTATACTGCCTTGAGAAGAAATATGTTAAATCACACATTTCTTAAATGCAAGATATATTATAGTAGAAGAAATTAGTTTAAAAAAGATTTCTATGGTTTGTAAAAATAGAAAACTAACAAATTGAATGCATTATTTTTGAGTCTTTTAAGTGTGGTGGCAGGAGTTGCTTCTAGAATAATATGGATCATGCAGTGTCAATTCTTACTTTTATTGCTTGTTTAAAATGGCTTGAGAACATCAGACAGAAGCAGGAGCCTTTTATAAATTTATAATTAATATGTGTCCTTCTTTATTTTTCGGTTAAGGGGGAACAATTTTCCACAACCTGATTGCTTTATAGAATATATATTATAATTTCCATGCATTAATAGAATTCAAAGTACTCTACAGAGGGTTAAAAGAAATTGAATGATAACATCTATTGACGTATTAGTTGAAAATTTATTGTTACTAGAAATCTTACTGTTAATAGAGATACAACTAAACCATGTGATAAAAAAGATCAATACAGGGCTGCCCTGTGTCTCCTCTTCTGTTTATTTTAGTTTTGGAAATTTTGAATAGAGACGTAAAACAGGATGAAATTATTTGAGAATAAACACTTAAAAAGAGACAAGTTAAGAATTTTTGTAGATGATTTGGTGCTGCTTTTGGAAGACCCATTCGAGGGAAGTGAACTATTAATGGGGAAACTAAAAAAAAATTGGTGCACTTGCAGGTTTCAAGTTTAATCAATGATGTTAACACAAAAAATATGAAAGTACAAGATTAAACAGAATTGGTGAATAAAAGAAATTTTAAGATTGACAAGTAGGTATTAGAATGACAAACAGGGATTTTATCTTGTTTCAAAGTAATTATGTGAAGATACAGAATAAAGTTAAAAAGGATATGTGAAGACAGGAAAAATTACTATTGTTATTTTTGGGCTGAATTTTTGTGATTAAGATGAATACTTAACCCAAGATGCTATTTTTGTTTAAGAGACTATCAGTTTTGACAGCTAATATGCCAATTAAACAATGGCAAAAAGATATATCTAAGTTTGTGTGCATTAGTTAAATGTAAGGTGTTACAAGATGCAAAAGAAAGAGGATTATGTTTACTTGATTTGAAATTATATTTTTAAACTTGTATTTAATTTGGGTGAAAGACTGATGTTTTTGAGAAATAGAAGATTTTTGCAGATAGAAGCCATGATTTGAAATTTTGGTTGCATGATATTTATGATATGACAACACTGAAATTAATATAGATTTTAAAAATCATTTTATTAGATCTATCATATTGAGGATATGGAATATGTATAAGCCAAGGTCAGCACATGTAGGCTATCTCCTCTGGGACTCAAACCTGGCTACCATGCATGCAATGGCAAAATTCTGTGCTGCTGCAATGACCACAAGGAAAAAGAATCATTTGGTTACAGAAACAATGATGCCTACTTCCACCAATTTTTTGTAGATATCTCTTGATGTAACCCAGAAGAAGAGATTAATTTACATCTATATTTACAATTCCTATAAAGAAAATCAGAAGCTATTTCTTTATATTTCCTTTCTTTTTTCCTGCATTCTGGCTTTGTCCTTTCTTTTCTTCTTTCTTTCTGCAAGATAACATAAATAACATGATTAACAATAAAATAAAATAAAATTAGCAGAAAGGAATTTCATATTGTAAATTTACCTATTCTTTAAAAGCCTAAAAAAATGTAAAAGCCTGGAGTAAAAAAAAAAAAAAAGTACTATGGAAAAATCAGACTTTTTTCTCTGGGATGGTCATTCTAAAATCAAGGGGCTATTACTAAAAAGACTAACACTTGGAATTTTCCCATTGTACTTAAGGATGGAAGCAGGCTACCTAAAAACTATATGGTATGGAAACATGCAAGAAGAGGTCTTTCTGTCAACATTGTAAAAAAAACCAGACCAAGAAACTAATGTCATATAGACTGAAAGCCACTTTTATTGGAACATTTATGGTAACAGTATCTTGCAAGTTTGAATGTGCTGTTCTCTTACTTATTTTATCTTCCTGTGAGCTATGGAGGAACTTCTCTGAAATGTTTCTATCAAATTAGATTCTTTGGATTTAAGAACTCTGCTTGTCTGATTGTTGCTTTTTCTTCCTATTCTTTAAGGCCATTCCCTTTACCCTTCTTCAGAAATTGTGCTTCTACACCTTGAAAGACTTTATAGATTAATACCAAAACATGAACTGGGACTAAAATATAACTTGAGTCTTTTTTTTAACCAAATACAAATATGCATGCAGCCATTTAAGTTACAATCAAGGTCATGTCAACATATTATTTTGTAGTCTGATGAAAATGTAATATATAGGTAGTCCTTGATTTACAACAATTCATTTGGGTACAACGCCATTGAAAAAAATTACTTATGACCATTTTTCAGACCTATGATTGTTGCAGTATCCCCATCACATGTCAAAATTCATACAGTTGACAATGTATTTATGATGGTTGCAGTGTTCCAGGATCATATGATCATTTTTTGCTACCTTCTGACAAGCAAAGTCAACGGGGAGGCCAAATTTTCTTAACACTGTATTACTAACTTAACACCTGCAGTGGTTTATTTACCAAGTGTGGTACGAAAGTTCATAAAATGGACAAAATTCACTTAACAACTATCTTGCTTAGGAACAAAAATGTTGGGCTAAGTTGTGGGATGAAGTCATTTCATTACTTATGATAGATTGTACACTATCTGGGGGCTCTGCACTTTATGTGCCATTTGAAAGACTTGGATATAAACTCAAAAAACCCGCCATAATTACCAACAAATCATCATTTTGTTGTATGTGTCTGTGGAAAGGATAGATTAATAAGCAGCATATTTATTAATTGTGTTTAATCCAATGTAAATTTTATTACTTTTAAATTGCATCCAATTTAATTGCTATATTTGCATGCCAGATTTTAAGGAGAATATCTGCATGCCAAACAAATCTGAAAAAAAATATGTATCCCTGGCTTACGTACAGTCCAGGGTTACTATAGAGAAACTGATTGTATCTTTTTTCCAATATTCCTCTCTTGTTTTCAGCATTCCTATGCACCAGCTCCCCATCCCATGGCTCCTCTCAGCCCCAGCACTAACAGTAGCAACAACAATAGCAACAACAGCAGTGGTGAACAGTTGAGTAAAACCAACCTGTACATCCGAGGCCTTCCTCCCGGCACCACTGATCAGGACCTAATCAAACTGTGCCAGCCGTAAGTAAAATTACTTGTTCTGTCTTCCCACTGGGAATCACATGTGCAAGGACAGATGGTCCCCAACAACTTTGGACCTTGAACAGGAAGTTTTATTTATCTGCAGATGAAGTAATTAAGTGTGTGGCTTGCCTTTGGATAACATCTGATAAAAACTTGCATCTTGATCTTGAGGGTGATAGAAACTTCCTGATAACCTCTGCTGGACAAAAAACATAATAGATATGCAGACTCTTTGGGAAAATGTTAAAATGTTCACTTGATGCTGGATAAAGTATGTACTAGTGGTTGCTGGGGAAATTTTCTGTAGTGGAAAAGAGAACAGATATAGAAAGACAACAGACATGTATCCCAACATAGCTATTATAGGAGGATCTTTTTGGGTGAGATCTAATGCCCTTGTCCCTTGAAAATCTTAACCCTTCCAAATTAGCAAACAGTATCAAAATCAAATATCTGGATAAATGTTGCTTTGAATCTTCTTGTTGGAGTAAAATTAAAGAAGTTAAATATATTATTCTTTTATTTCTACATGTCTCTCGGCTTCAATGTTCTATTAACAGTATTCCTGTCATCACGAGTTCGTAATGTTTAGTTTCAATTCAACTGCTTAGGACTGATGGGTTCATTTGGGTTTGGCATTTCTCTCCCACTCTTTCTTCTCAGCCACTTCAGAATTTTCCGGACAAGGATGGTCTTAAGTGTTAAATCTCACTTTATCTGATGCTGGGGAAATAGTTTTGCCTTGGGAAATCTGTAACACAAAAGGAGAACATATACACTAGCATATACACTAAACATGCACTGGACATATATCACATATTTAGATCCCTATCATTACAGTGGGTCCTTGGATTTTGGAACTTTCTCCTTCTGGCTGTATTTGCCGGATTGTTATTAAAAAGCCTCTCAGATAGGTAAATTATATATAGTATCTATAAGTAATTGCTACAATAAGAAGGCATGTACTTCACAAACTCTTCTATTATTTTGTTTTAACTGTTTATAATTTAAAAAAATACTACCAATTCTGTGGAAGACCACTGTCACCAATTACAGTTATAGCCCAGCATTTTTTGGCTCGTTACATCCTTCTGTAGTTCTTTTTTGCCTTAGGCTTTGTGATATGTTTCCATATTTCTCTTTTGATTAGCACTAACCTTATACAGTTCTTCTGTTGCCAAGGATCTCTTCCCTGAATTCTTGGTTTTAAAATCTAATGTTTATTTTGCCCCTTTAGGTTTCCTTAACCTTCAGTTCAAGCTCACAAAGAATATGCATAATTGTATGTTATCAGAGTACATTACTCTGTGTTAGGAAGAAAGATGGGATAGTTGTTTTATTCTGTTTTCTATTCCTTTTTTAATGCTGTCACTTAATTGCAATCGTCATTTTTTAGGGAAGCATGGCCAGTAGTCCTGCTCTTTCCTTTGCATTCCCTAACTTTTCCCATATTGGAGCAGGGTGGTCTGAAGGGGATTTTGCAGTACATGTCTTCTTGTTGTAGACTTCTTGCCCAGAAAGTTACAGGCTTAAGTGGCAAGATGGGATGTAGAAGATGAGAAGACCCATCCCAGTCCTATTTAAAAGCTTGTATATTTTTCTTCTGTGATTTTAATCCATTTTAACAGTTGTGCATTGAATACAGGTAGTCTTCAATATACAACCATAATTCAGCCAGAATTATGATTGTAAGTCATTGCAGTTATAAGTCGAGGCATCATGTTACTATACTTGATTTTTCAACATTTTGTAAGGCAGTTGTAAAATGAAGGCCATTATTGTTAAGCAAATCCATTTCCCGTGATGGATGGGTTTTTTGGCTGGAAACTGAAAATAAACACCAACAAAAACATTGCAAATTGCACCCATGTGACTGCATGATGGCCCTAATGGTAAGCCAGATGCAAATTGCCCAAAATATGATCATGTGACTGTGGGGGAGGTATGTAACTTCAAAAACAGTAATAACTAAATTGGGGTAAATCTGAAGGGTCTGGTGATAAGTCAAGGACTATCCATATGAGAAATATTGATGTATTTAAAAACCTATATTTCATCATACATAGGGTCAGAAAAAAACTTCATTTACGTTTTAAGCATGCCAATAGCCATGTTTGCAATATATATATTTGTATTAATACAGATACTTGGGAAATTTGTTAATTAATTAATATTTTGAGCTCTTTCTTGGAATCAATGTTGATACCAGTGCGAGAGCACAGAATCTGTGAGATTTATTGCCTTTAGCCTTCAGATAATAGTGGGCCATATTCTCATATAGAGGCAATCTGGCTGCAAGAAGATTGATGAATGCTTGTTCACTGGGAAATGATTCTTTGGTTATCATCTGGATCAACCAGATTCCTCAGCAAGATCTCCTTAAGTTTCTAAGCCATAGTCTTGCTTTGTCATCTGCATTTAGAATAATCCTATAACCAAAAATAGACAAGAAATTGTTGGTAAAAATGCATTGTGTGAAGAAGTAATTATATGTTTCCTTTTGGAAGTAATTATAAGAAACCTATGGACGTATATGTTGTAGGTTTGCCTCCCTTCTTCCCCGAACCCATGTGTCCCGGTATGTTGGGAGCATAACTCCAAGAAAACACTGATTTAGGTGGATTTTTGGTATGAATGTGAACTTGATGTTGTTTAGCTTAACCTTGAAGATTTATGATACAACTCAAAAAGATGCTTTTCACTTGTGACAATCAGAGATTTGGAGACTGTGTGGCCAAATGTGCAACAAGTTTAAAAATGCAGTTACTTATACTAACAGAAACTTTTAGGTATGCAAGCCTAAGATTAATTTACTCCTGAGAAGAACATTAGTATAAAGCAAGATATGATTTCTATATAGGTTTTTGTTGAGTAACATGTTGCTTATGAAATGCACATGATTGTCAATGAACTTCATGGTCATTAGTGATTTCTTGTTGAACTCTAAAATGCCTCATTTCTATTAACAGTGTTAAGTTTCCTTAGCATCTTATTTAAGTTCTCTGTAAATCACTAAGTAACTATTCAAAAACATTTCTAAAAAGAATTGCCAGATGTTATTAAAGCAGTATCCTTAAAATAATCTGTGAAAGCAAAACATTTCTTATAGTTTTTCCATTTCTTCCAACCAAAGTGGCTTCCTTGTATCCACTCATTCTTGTCTCCCCAATGTGATATAGATCTAGAATAGGGTTGGCAGCCTACGGCTTTCAATCTAATTTCATGGCTCCTCAGCTTCATTTCAGAACCTCTCTGAATTCAAGAGCCAATTTGAACTATCTCTTTCCTTCCCTGAAGCCTGCTATTTGGGCAAGAGAAGGATGTCAAAAAGAAAACAAATGAGTGAAACACCCATTTAAAATCACAGAGATGGAAATACCACTCAGGTCATCAATTCAATTCCTGCTCAATGTTGGAATCAAATTAAGGCATCCCTGACTGATGGATGTCTAGCCTCTTCTTGAACAGATGTAATGAAGTGAAGCCTACCATACATCTGGGTAGAAAATTCTAATATTTAATTGAAATCTGTCTTGTGGTAATTTAAATCTATCATTCTACACCCTGTTTTTGGAAATGATGGGGAAAAGTCATGATTTTTTTCCTTGTGATACTTTTTCTTGTACTGTATCTAAAGAATGCTGTCATATCTTCTCTCAGTGTTCTCTTCCAAAATATGTCCAACTTTTTCAATCTCTCTTCACAAGTACTCTAATCAACCTTGTTGAACTTCTCTAAACGTGTTCTTTGAAATCCTCTCAAAGTGTAATATCTGAAAGGACACAATACTCAAGATGTGGGTTCTTATGGATGCCTTTTCCTACAACCCTGCCGTCAATGCTACTTGTTGATAATTCCTGAGATGGCCCTTGGTGAAAATAATAAACATAATAATCAACCATTTTTGAAAATGTAGCTTGAAAAAGGGAGAAAGAAAGTGAAATATATGTTAATATGAAACCTCTTTTTGATGATATGGCTACATTCTTGACATTGAGTTTTGAAAGCTTCTTAGAATTGTTTACAACTTGTTTATGGGAAGAATTACTACTTATTTTAAATTTAATAAATATAAAGAAATACTGTTATATGAATCATCTGAAAATGACCATAGAACCTGGTGAGTGGTGATGGAGAGGATGATAAATTTTTAAAAAGATATAGTAGACAATATTTCTGCTTCCAATCCTTTTCTGTTATATAGGCCATGAACTGGAAGCAACAATAATAGAATTTTAATTGGTTTTCATTGATCTGTGAGTCTAGACCCGTGATGGCGAACCTATGGCACGCGTGCCACAGGTGGCAGGCGGAGCCATATTAGTGGGCATGCCAGCTCAGCTCTGGGGCGCATGCGCGTGTCAGCCAGCTGATTTTCGGGCCTTCTGGGCCCACCAGAAGTAGGGAAACAGGCTGTTTCCTGCCTCTGGAGGGCCGGGGGTGGGGGTGGGGAAGGCCCGTTTTTCTTTCTTACCTGGCCCCAGATCCTCTCTGTGTATCTGGGAACGGCGAAAACAGCCTTTCCCACTCCCTTGGAGGCCCTACGGAGGCTCAAAGGGTCCATTTCCCCACTCCCGGTGGGACAGGAAGTGACATTTTTTCCTGTCCCCAGCCTCCAGAGACTCCTAGAGAGGCTCCTACAGACTCCTAGAGAGGCTCCTAGAGACTCCTAGAGAGGTTCTGGAGGCTGGGGACAGCAAAAAATGTCACTTCCTGTCCCACCGGGAATTGGGAAATGGGCCTTTTCAGCCTCTGTAGGGCCTCCAAGGTAGTGGGAAAGGCTGTTTTCGCCGTTCCCAGATACACAGTGAGGATCTGGAACCAGGTAAGAAAGAAAAACGGGCTTACCAGGCCATCATGTGCCAGGAGCGGGGGGGATGGGGAAGGGGATTGCGCACGCATGCGCGTGGGCATGTGCATGCACGACCCCCCCCGCCCCCCTCTCTTGGCACGCAATGGCAAAAAGGTTAGCCATCACTGGTCTAGACAATAGAAGA